TAACCCTGGCTTTGGGCGCTACTAATGGCTTGTGTGCCTTTTTCTTCACCGTTTGAGCACGCACCCGCACCTAGTAGCTAGAGCAAGAGAACCCACACGACAACCAGGCTGATTGGCTGCTCTTGACTTTCTCGCTCGCTCTTCCTTCTTTAGTTTTCAGTCAGCCACTGGCTGGTTGGTTGGGTCTTTGGCCGCTGCCGCCTCATCCATATGAATTGCAATGATACATCATCTAGTATCTAGCTAGTGGAACAGGTTTCCCGCGGAGTCCAGCTTGAAGTTTTCTCACACTGTCACAATGGAATCGCAGTCAACACGAAAGCCTTCGCCACAAGCAACACCTCGCTGTTACTGTGCACTCCACGAAAACTACTAAAATATGGGTGTAGCTAGCTAGATAGTTGCATCTTGTCAATTAGATTTCGTACCCTGGTTCCTCGTATCTTTCCCTCTTTGGTACTATTGCTTGGGCTCCCAGCCATAACTGACAGGGAGGGAACACGACGTTTCTTGATCAACCAGTATTTGAGCAGTGTAGAATTAACCCATGTACTAGCACTGCCTTCCCGGCCTGCAGCCAGCTACCGGTACCGGTACCGGTACCCATAGCTGTTGTCGAAGGGAAGGAGCTCTGGTTTTCTCTAGTGTCATGGCCGCAAGCGGAGCAATGTAGTACATGTAGATTGCACCATGGTGATCCTTCCAACAGGCAGTCAAATAAAATGTAAATCACCCACTGCTTTTCTCGATTCTAACACTATCAATCCCGCACCTAGCTAGCTAGATGTACATCAAAGGATACCACCCACTCGCTGTTCTTGGCCCAAGATAGTAGTGGCGCTGGCCCTGGCCCGCTGGCAGAAGCTCAGGCGGTGGCTGGAAGTGGAGTGCGACTTCAAGTTGACTGTCTCTCACTCCCAAACCATCTTCTAAAAAAGTGAAATAACCGCTCAAATGGCTTATATTTGCCGGTACGTGTACCCTCTAGCAGAAGGATTATCGATTGGAGGATTTATTAACCAAAATGTAAAAGATTAGTTGTTAAGTCCTGATGCTGCAACCAAACCCATTTTATAATAATCTTCAAAGTCTCAATGTCTCAATAGGTTCTCCACCGGTATGTAGAGTACCAGTACGTGGCAAGAACCGCTACTGGTACCGGTACCTGGTACCTCTCGACCTCGAACCCACGCATTCGCTCTCGAGTCGCTGGTACAAGCACCACAATGTGAACTTGATTATTGTGGCTTCTTCCCATTCCTCCCACCCCGTGCAGGTCAAAAACTCAATTTCACACCCAACCAGCACAAACCCAGAAACATTTTTCACCAAAGAAGAGGCGACAATGATGATGCTTCCAAATCTCTTTGCAGTGGTCTTTCTGCTGTTGACCAAGACTGGGTTGGCAAACCAACTGGCAACCATGCCAGAAACCCCCAACCTTGGGGATCCAACTCTGTCAGGCTATCACTTTCGCATTACAGTAGTTGAACAGCTTGGATATGTGGACATTGAGACAGACAAGGACACAGGAGAGCTCTCCTTTTCGGGATATTTGATTGATGTCTTGAAGGAGGTATCCAAAGAGCACCGTGCCAATTTTACATATGAATTGGCAACTCCTAGTGGCTTTGGGTCCAAGTGTGAAGGCCGTCTCAACTGGACAAAAGGGGAGGGATTCAACCCAACGACCGAAATTTTGGACCATTCAAGTGCCTATGGAGTTCCATTTCAATCTCAATACAAGTGGGGAGAGAGCGATGTCAATGATCGCCCGCTCTCTGAGTATTCCACGGATTTGTATTGGGGTCTCTACTATATCACGCCGGAACGCCTGAAGGTGAACCGATTTACAGTGCCTTACAAACCTCCAGGCAAGGGAACTCTTGGGATGATGGGTACTGCCACAAATATTCATTCCTTTGACGACTTGGTGGCAAATCACTCCGACCTTCCCATCTGTGCAAGTGCAAACACTGCTTATGTGGACTCACTGAAACTTACTTTTCCTGAGCTTACAATCAACCTGGTCCATGAACCAGAAATCCACAAGGCACTGTCAGATGGAACATGTGATATATATGTTGGTGTACATGCATTACTCAGCGATGTGGTCAGGATCTACAGTGAAACTGGCAGGTGCACAGCCAATGGCTTGGTGAGTATCACACTGCCCAACTTGTTGTTCCTGTTTCATCCTTGATGATACTGTATTCTAACACCTGTCTGTTTTGGATCCTTCACTACACAGCCCATTGGCATGATTGGACAGCCAATGGAATTTGGTTTGAACTACTCTAGTATTGGAGTTCGGACTGAACTACCAAATGAAGTAGTGGATACACTGAACTATTGGCTTTTGGCTCTCATGGCATGTTTTCCAGCTGATCCAGAGGGAGTTTGTTTTGAAGATGGTGATGGAGGAAGCCTTAGTCAGCTCTATGAGGGACGAGGTGGCACAGGGTTTGAATGTGGTTACATCCAGTTTCCACCCTTGGCAACCAGTGAAGGTTTGAGTCCTGGTGCCATTACAGGGATTGTAATTGTACCAGTCATCCTTGTGTTGCTAGCATCCATGGTATACCATGTGTATCAGCTAAAAGCACAGGAAAAACGAATGAAGAAGCGCTTCATTCAGCAACTTGCTCGAAACATTGAGATTGGGGGTAGTGCTCGTGAAATCTCAGCAGATAAACTGACAGAGGCTTTCAAGCATATTTGTGGTGAGGATGGATTGATCAGCAAAGAGGACTTGGCCCAGTGGCTCAATGATCTACACATGGACTTTTTGAGTGAAAGCGATTTTGACCGATTGTGGGATACAATGGACTTGGAGGGTCGAGGTGTAGTGGAACCTCTTGACTTCTTTGCATTTTTGACTGAATGTGGGCCCCAGTTCAAGGAGGTGCATATGGTGTACTCAGCACTGCCCAAGATTGAACGACAAAAGTTGGCATCACGACGCCTGTCCAACATTAGTGCAATGGGTGAGGAAGGAGTCAAACAAATGGAACGAATGATCAACCAAAGGAGTCGATTGAATGTGCAAACTGCTCACAGTCCAAGCTCCAAGTCTTGCAGGTCTTTCATGAGCGGAACAGACACGAGTTCTTCTGCATATTAGTTTAAAACAATGCTTGTCAGCTACAGCTGTGGTTAATTAAGGTACTGTGTCTTGGCCGATCGGATGGGCTGAGCCCTTGGCTGGGCTGGAGGACTGGCCCTTCTTGGCCTGCGAAAGGTAGGAACTAGACTAACTAGCTAGACAGTTGGTCAAGGAACAGAGAGGATTGGGGGTAACAACTGCTGGAAGCTCCGATTGGCTATCACGGCAGTCGTGTTTGCACGGGAAACTCTACTGAAGGGCGTCGTATTTCACGGAACGGAACAATGCTGCTGGATAGCTCTGGAATGATCCTCGAAGAAGCGAGGAAGGGATCCAAATCCGGTCCTGCCCAATAGCAATACGATAGCTCTCATTTCCGAAAGATTGATGTCAACTCCGTATATCGAAATCAAGAAGTAGGCAGCAAGCAAGCATCAAAGCATTCCGCGAAACGAGACAACACTTGAAGTCATGTCAGTAGTCTGCCCTCTTCCTTTTGCACCAAAACTTTGAATTGGCTCATAGAATGCGATTGCTCGCTGTTGAAAATAGTTCTCTCGCTTATTACTAACATCTATTCTCGAAAAGACAATGGCAAATCAAAGAAACCTAGGAGATGCTGCCCATCATGTTGGTCTTTTCCGCATTGAGCATGACCTCATTGGCGACGAGAAAGTCCCCGCTGACGCGTACTATGGAATCCAGACCCAACGTGCCATGAAAAACTTTGACATCACAGGTGTGCCAATTTCTCATTTCCCCGAGCTGATCCGGGCTCTGGCGATGGTCAAGAAAGCAGCTGCAATGGCCAACCGAGACTTGGGTCATTTGGATCGGAAGAGGACGCATGCTATTCTTGCTGCCTGCGACGAGGTGATAGCTGGGAAATGGCATGAGGAATTCCCCGTAGATTTGATCCAAGGTGGAGCTGGAACAAGTACCAACATGAATGCCAATGAGGTCATTGCCAACCGTGGGCTTGAAATCTTGGGAAGGAAGAAAGGTACGAAAGTCATGGCTGCGAAATGAGTCGCATTGAAAGAATCTGTCAATCCCAATTTGTCATCTCATTTTTCTGCTCTTCTGTATCGTCAGGCGAATACCAATTCCTACATCCCAATAACGATGTCAACAAGTCGCAGTCCACCAACGATGTCTACCCCACGGCGGTTCGTTTGGCTATTGTATTCAGCGATGATCCTTTGGTCGAAGCTGTCAAAGGGTTGCGAGCCGCCCTTGACCAAAAAGGGGACGAATTCAGTTCCGTGCTCAAACTCGGCCGTACGCAGCTCCAAGACGCTGTCCCCATGACCCTGGGACAGGAGTTCCATGGATGGTCCACCGCTCTGGGAAAGGATTTGGATCGTCTGGCCGACATTGCCAATCTTTTTTCCGAGGTGAACCTTGGAGGTACCGCGATTGGCACCGGCATCAATACAGATCCCGACTACACCAACGTCGTAATTAAAAAGCTTGCAATGGTGACGGGAGTTGATGTCTCGACAGCTCCAAGCCTTATTGAGGCATCATCGGATATGGGAGACTTCGTCGCCTTTTCCGGCCTCCTCAAACGCCTTGCAGTCAAACTCTCCAAGATTGCCAACGATCTGCGTCTCTTGTCAAGCGGGCCCAGGGGAGGCTTCAATGACATAAACCTGCCCGCGGTCCAACCTGGGAGTTCCATAATGGTAAGCGCTACCGGTAGCATCAAAGAAGTGATCGCGATGAATCCCTCACGCCCAAGTACGTGTTGCGTCACCTTGGCAGCCAGGAAAGGTTAACCCTGTGATCCCCGAGGCTGTCAACCAGACCTGTTTCCAAGTCATCGGTGAGTTTGACGTGCCTGCTGTGCTGTTCCGACCGATTGTCGCTTATCTCCACCTTCGTTTGTCCCGCAGGCAATGACTTGGCAATCACAATGGCTGCCGAAGCCGGTCAGTTGCAACTCAACGCGATGGAGCCGCTGATCGTCTACAACATCCTACAGAACCTTCGGATGATGACAAATGCTTGCAAAATGCTCACCGAGCGCTGCGTCACCGGCATTACCGCCAATGTTGATCATTGCGCATCCTTAGTCCGCGATAGCATTGGGATTGTAACGGCTTTCAATCCATTCATCGGCTATGAAAAGTCCACGGCTGTTGCTAAGAAGGCACTCGCTACTGGTAGAAGCGTCGTCGATATCATCACCGAAGAGGGGCTCCTGGATGCAGCGACCATAGCAACCATTCTGAAGATCGAGAATCTCACTGGTCCAAGCTCCCTGATCAGCCAGAGAGCTATCAAGGACGCCGATCGTGGCCACACTCACATGGTCTTCGATACAAAGAAAATCTTTGAGTTTGCCGACGAACACAAGGAAAAAGGATATGAATCTGCCTGACTCCAAGCTAGTGGTTATGGTTGACCCGCTAAGAAAACCATCCGAAAATGACTTCCGACTTATATTCTATAAAATAAAATCATCGTGGCTTTGTTGTTGATTCTTTCCCCTGCATCAACTCGGTATTGTAGTTTAGCTTTTGCAGACAACAAGTACTGGCGATTCGATTCACTCCGAAAGCCCCCATCGAGGGTGAACAATGTCGAGCTTTGACATCTGCTGTGGGTGTCACTCATCTTCAAACTGAGGTTCAGGATTTCCTTTTTTTTGAATGTAGGGTGAATTTTTGGATAGGATCCGGTGGAGCACACCCTTCAGTTCCTGTGGCCTGCATGGCATTGGCTTCAAAATGAATTCGTCTGCTCCTGCGTTGATGAATGCGTCTCTCAAGTCATTCGCAGACAAACCACATATCTTACAATCCATTCCCCTACTTCGCATCACCTGAGCTGTCTCGGTACCTAAAAGCTGTTTCTCCGCCGCAGCCATATACTGATCCATGAAGACAAGGTCAAAGGACTGAGTCTCGCAGATTCGAAGGGCCATCTCGCCGCTGGATGCATCCATGATTGTCCAGGTGGCTGGTGCAGCTTTCTTCACTGCTCGCATGAACAATTTCCTCAGTACGGCATCATCGTCGACCTTTGGAACAAAATGCATAGATTAGAAAACAAGAAGGAAGGAGGAGCCGCAAAAGGAAGGGGAGAAGGCGGAGTAACTTACGAAGAGACAGTTGAGACCTTGGGGTAGCTCTATTTCCGTGGCAATCAGACTAGCGCTTGACAGCCTTTTGCTGGCTCGTATTGCCGTTGACTCCGCACCATCGGAACCAGTGACCCCGCCACTTGTTGCAGCTGGACCGCCTGCTGGAGCTGTTTCCATTTCCTCCTTTGGACTTGAACCATTCATGTTGGGAATTGCAACTTGCAAAACATCGTTTTCTTCCGCGGGCAGAGCTGCCTCAATGTCTATTGGTCCAGTCTTCAACTCAACAACAAACCGAGCACCGGGACAGCCCTCTACCCCACTATCGTAGGAAGCATCCAACCAGATATCTCCATTCATGATACGCATTAGTTTCTTTGACAGATTCAGGCCAACTAACGGTTTCACACGCAAAACAACAAACAAGAAGTGAGAGTTGGATTCCTCATCATGTAACCGCAGCAGACGTGCCACGTACTCCCAGTTCCCTGCGAAAGTAGGTCCAGGCTTTCCTGGTACTTTGCAAACAACTCCTTTTGCTTTGCCCGAGGTATTCCTGGCCCAGAGTCTTCGACGTAAATCGTTACTTCCTGGTCCACGACTTGTGCCCGCAGGCGCAAAAAGCCAGTTTCCACAAATTTGGATGCATTCCTGGCGAGATTGATCACCACTTGCTTCAATCGAATGGAATCCGTCATGACCGCAAGATCTGGCGGACAGTCCACCAGTACTTCGAAATTTGTGAGGCGTTTGTACAGCATGCTGGCCACTGGTTCCAGGATGTCTTGTTTAATGTCGGTTGGAGCCACGGCAATTGTGATTTGATTCCCTTTGGCGCGGTAAATGTCCAGCATGCTGCGTAGAAAGTCATTGATAAACACAAGACTAGAGTTGACGACTGTCATATCCTCTCGTACATACTTTCTCGTTTCGTCATCTTTCAAGGGATCTTCTTCGTTGACTGCTGTTGTGACAAAGGTGGAGGCCGAAATGGCCGCACTGAGTGGATTTCGAACCTCATGCGACAGGAATTCGTTCAAGTCTCGTTCCGTTTCTGCTGCTTTGTTGATGCTTTCAATCACTTTTGCTGTCATGACTGTTTGGCGAAACTCGACGACATATGAGTATACCAGAAAGAGTATTCCCGCAAAGAGAAATGCGAATAGGGTCACCATAGTGTAGAGTGCTGGATTGTTTGTCAAGTAGTTTGCGGCGGTGTCTTGCGATGGATAGATACGGATTGTGTATTGGATGGAGTCACTGAGCTGCACTGTTCTGTAGGCTTTGTTTTGCGGTGATGCACGTTGTTGCAAGTGCTCGTTGATGTTGGTCGATACTTCCATATGATCGTATTTTGGGTCATGATTGTATGTTGGGCCAAGATTTGTTGCTTTGCCGCCATCAATTCGGTACGCAAATGTTTGATTGGCAGAATTTGTAATGACACAGATGATACCTTCAGCTTTGGGCGGTAATAGGTTGGAGAATAGGATCTTCCAATAAATATCGGACAAAAGCACCCCTGCCAACTCTCGATCGTCATCGAAACTGTCAAAAACTGGGTATGCCAGAATAGAGTGTTGATCATGCAGTAAGTCTTCTACATCGTGGCGATATTGGGAGGAACGGAGAATGCCTTCAAAGTAGTCGAAAAAAGCCGGAATAGGAAAGGAGGCGTAGTTCAGGACCGCCTTTTTCTGTGTTCTCATGGTTTCGATAAGATTGCGACTGATGACTTGGGCTCCAGCAATGTTTAGATTCATAAATCCCTGGCTCGGGGTGTGAACCGGACTGCCATGGGACAAAAAGAGAGGGTTAAAGATTGGCTTGTCTTAGAGAACCAAACAATGCTTGGTGGTGGTTGGTTTTAGAGCTTACCTTTGTTGCCATAAAGGGAGATAGTACCCTCTTCCTTCCGGCTCGTCCCCTCGAGGCGTCACGGCTCCATTGCTCCACAGTTTCGGGTGGTATTGTGTTCCGTCATCTAGCACAGTCAGTGGAATCTCATCTGGTTGTTGCAGGTTGCGTTGTCGTTGTCCATCTTGCGTATTTGAATTTTCAGTATTCGTTTCTTCTGCCATACCGAACTCTTGGTCTTGTTCTTGTCTCCATTTGACTTCCCTTTCGTAGGATGACGGCCAATGATTGCGTGTATACGAGGCGTACTCTTCCCAATCTTCTCGTTTTTCTTCCGTCACCAAAGGACTCCAGTGCAGCAAGTGAGATCCTGATTGAGCTCTCAAATCCGATCCTTGCAATTCAAAGTCTGGAACTGTAACAAAGGGAAACTCCTGATTGGTTTGAATGGCGTAGGACGTAATCGAGGTAGACATGGCGGCCACGGCAGCCAAATTGTGTTCGACGAGAGTATGGAACGAATCAATCACCAAATTTGCGGCATCTTCAAACCTCTCTTGGAACTCTTGTTCTTCCTCATTGCGAGTGTACAGATACACTGTCACACAGACCAGCGTAGCAATGCTAAGCAACACGGTCGCGTACGCCACGCGCAGAATCGTAACCACTCGAGTTTCTCTTTTCGCTAGCGATTTCGTCAAGGCAACACCTTCCTCTGATGAGTCGTCCAGAGGCACACGATCTCCTGAGGAGGAGGGAGGCGTGCCGGAGGGTCCAGTTGGAGGCGGAAAAGCAGAAAAGGAAGAAGACATCGTGGTCAACACAAACTCAGATTGTTTTTTGTTTTAAAGCGCAAAAGGTACAGTATCAAGCCAAGACGGCCTGCAGACTGCAGCCTGCAGATTACTATGTATTAGCTGGTATCAGGTAAACAAATAAATAAATAAATAAGTAAATAACCAGGTAGTCCACAGTAGTGGTTCGCTTCTGCGCGATCCAATCTGCCCGTCCACGTCAAAGGCGTCAAGGCGGGAAAGCTCAAGAAGATAGCTACTGTAGAAGATGCTAAAGTGGAACTATTAAAACAGTGGTCGCGTCTGAAAGGGGGTTATTTAAAAGCCAGCTGCTTGCCAAGTGACGATTTAAGTTTAAAAGTGGAACATTGAAAATATTAAAAATGTCTTTTGAATCTTACTATTAATAAAGAACCCAGTGGTGCATTGTGCTTTTAAGGTCATGGTGTACTTCTAATTCTCCACAGTGAACCCTTTAAAACAATATCCTTGTCCCTTTAATGTCCAAGAGCGCTTCTCGGGTTGCCTCTGTGCTCTGCGCTCTGCGGTGTGGCCTGCCCTCGCGGAAGTACCACCTTGCGAAGTTTGAAGGTTTTCTTTTGATGCATATGCACAGTTAAAGCTTGCTCCTGACTGGTAATAATGAAATCTAAAATCTAAGTAAACTTGCTCCACATAGATCCAGATAGATCCGCCAAAAACTATTGTCCACAATACTAGTATTCATACTGGTAGACTAGTGGTTTTCTATTGTTTATTGTTTACCTGGTACAGCGTAACAGGTACCGTTTATTGTTTATTATGCTGTTTTTAGGTGTTTTGCATTATTGCTAAGTGTGTCTGCAATAGACACTTTATAAATTTCGTGTTGCAGGATTCAGGACCGTCCAACGTTTTTCTCTTGGGCTACCACTGATTCGAAACATGGTTAGGGGATTCTTAGAAGGCCTGTTTTAGACGTATTAATAGGCTTGTTTAGGGGTTTCTTGTAGATTTAGTTTTTTTTTATACTAGTACTAGTAGTAGTTTTTTAAAGGGTTTGTTCATTAGTTAGTTTTTATAAAATAGAAGGATTACAGGTTTGTTTTGAAGGTTTATTTAAGGGCTTGTTGTTAAGGGCTTGTTTTTTAATGGCTTGTTTAAGGGCTTGTCGAAGATTCAAAGGCTTGTTTAAGGGCTTGTTTCAAGCCCATGTCAGTGGTGTAAAAACGTCCTATTTTAACAGTATTTGCTTTTTGCCATTCGAATCACATAATAAAACGCCAATCTGGTACTTTTAAAATAAAACGCCAATCAGGGCCATGCCTCGAGATCTCGGATCTCAGGCGAGGTTTCCCGATTCCCGAGATCCAAGTCCCTACTGTACTGTACATACTCGAGATCGATCCGCCTTCCACCGCTTCCGAGATCCAACCCGGGATCGCGGGACTGACCAGTCTTTACCTTTCGGAAGTCAAAAGCTAAATGAAGTTGAAGGGTGAAAGCGGTAGAAGGCAGTAATGTGATTGGCTAATCAACCTATGACATCAGCAAATACGTCAGCAAAGATTCAAATATACTTAACGTACCGTTTATAAAGATTACAGGCAAACTGTGCTACCTAGTCACCATTTTCTGTTTTCGAGAACCTCGAAACTCGGATTCCTCCGTTATCGACCTCCGTTGTTGTTGTCGATCGCGATCGACAATGACATTCTGCCGCTCACCGACAGTCATTATCTCAGCCAAAAGCAGCACCATCATGACCGGAACAGCAGCAACAGCAGCAGCAACAACAGCAGCACCAGCAGCTACCACTCACAATGGAGGAATGGGCTGCCAAAGTCAACAGAGGAACTCGCAACAGAAGAGAGCATATCAACTCGCCTCCAACAACAACAGATCGAAGAGAGCCAGAGAAGAAGGACCCCAAACAACACTGGGAGGAGAGGTAGCAGAAGTCTTTGATCCACTCAAGAAGTGTGTCATCTGTAAGGCCAGACATCTTGGTTTCAGAGTCCCAAAAAGATCACACCACGTTCTCTGTATTAAGAATACAGTAACAAGAGGAAGAGGAGATTTGAATGAGCTGACAATGGAAACCATCAGAGAGAGCAGAAGACTTACAAGGCATTTCAGTGCTCCTCTTCCACTGAATGAGAGAGGAAGCTGGAAGCACTCAACAAAGGAGAATGGAGAAGCCTTCTTTGGTCCTAGAACAAACACAGCCAAACCAAATCAGAGCCGGCAACAGAAGACATCCATAACCAAGACAACTCCAGTTGCTCTTTGTCAAAAGGTCACCACTCTTGTAAAGGATACTGCCTTTGTGGAACAGCACAAGACCAAAGGAGCACCACTGGCAATGCTAGCAATGGCACAAGTAGTGTCAGAGTCCATTATCAGGCCAAGAAATCCACAACTGTTCAGCCAACACTTTGAGGGACTCACCATGACTGTGCCATCCACAGAGGAGCAATTCAAATCTCCACACTACCACTCCATTGTTGGCCAGAAACTCCTCCTCGTGGACTGGAATCGATGTGGAAGTACTGTACCTTGTCCTGATGGAAGATGCTCTGGCCAACTCAAGAATACGAGGCACAACTGGTCCAAGAACAAGACCTTGTTCCCTATCTTTGGCATCACTGGTCCTCCTTCTTGGTGTATAGTCATGTCCATGGTTTGTGGAAGCTGCAACAGAAGATTCGATGCCAACTCTGCAGAAGTGCTTGTCTCGATCCCAGACCATGCTTCATTGCTCTATCCAGTGGAGTCCAAGTATGCTCTACCTAACAAGGCTTGTCATTTGGAGCGAACAGCAACAGAAGTATTCGATTCTATCATGTCAACCTATGGAAATGGAGACCTATGCAGCCGCCTCATCTACAATGCAATCAACAGAGAGTATCTTAGAGCCATGATGTCTTAATTCTCATACTGGCAAGGAAGCGACACTGATGCTGATCCCTTTCTTCAAAAGGATGGCACTTACATTAGACAGTTTCCTCCTCTTGGTGACACCATCCGTGACATCTATGATGCCGCCTGTACTTCCAACAGGAATGCATGGAGAATCAGTGACAACCAAAGGCACACAAGAGAGATCCAAAGTGTCAGTTGCAACAAAGGAATCTTCTGCCAAGACCATACCTTTCAGGTGGTCAAGAACTACTCCAAGAGTCTTGGTGCTGGTGCTGTTTGGGATGCTGCCACAGAGGCTGGTGAGATTGCATGTGCTGTTCTTGTTCCCACCACCAAGACAATCCACTTCTCCCATGCTGCCATGCAGCTAGCAAGGAGGAGCAACTTCAACCCAGCTGCCATGTACAGCGACACATGGCCCAACAAGGATGACTACTGTGAGATACTCTTTCCAGGAATCGAGGGAAGGCTAGGCCTATTTCATTATGAGAAGAGAATCCTGTCAACTTTGAGGAAAGGGCACATTGATTACTCTCAAGCACTGACAGACCTCTTGGATTGCTTGTATGTGTACTCACCAGATGACTATGAGAAACTTCTCCATGCATTGAAACATGGCCTCTTGTCCTCCAATGGCAAGCACTACTCCATGGCAGAGATCTCAGATATGCAAGCTTCCAAGGTCTTCAGAGAGAGGTACTCCAAATACCTCAGGAAGCAGATGAGGTAACCAGAGACAATGAGACAGAGGTTGCAGCAGTGGTTCTGCAGGTACAAGGTGACAGCCAGTGATGGTAGCCAGCCAGGACAGGGGCGACTAGATCCAGTCAAGAAATTTACCTTGTTCACACCCGATACCAAGCCAGCAGTAGAGAACTGTGTTGACAAAGCCATTCACTTGGCTGATCCACTCGCGCTGGAAGATATGTATGACACGATCCTGCCATCACCCAATTCCAAGCACAAGCTCCAAGAGTACCTATCAAGGAGAGGAGAATCCAAGTTAGAAGCATTCCACGACAAGTTTGCCCATTTTGCCAATAGTGGTATGAGGAGGTCTCTTGCTGATGCACTCAACCTTGCTGGAACAGCCAGATACAACCTCAACATTCGACACAAGAGAGCCTTCCTGTCAAGAATCAGTCTGGAAGAAAGGAGGTCAATTCCAGCTGGATGGGAAAAGGTTGTGCCATACTGGAACCATTCAGAATTGGCTTACCTCAATGAGCTAGCACTGGCTGTGGGTGTGGATGAGTCATTTCCAAATGCAGAGCCACTGCCACATGATACTGGAGAGAGATTCTTTTCAGAGTTCATTGTTTCATTCAAACCACAAAGGCAGAAGTATGCTCCAAATGATTGTTGTCTTTGTGTGGCATGTACTCGATCGTCACCAAGTCCACCAGCAATCGAGCCACCACGGAGTCCACCAGCAATCGAGCCACCGGCTCCACTCCACCACCACCACCACCACCACCACCACCTCCACCACCACCACTACCACCAGCCCAAGCAGCTGTGGCACAAACAACAAACAACTACATGAGTAACATGCTTCAATTTCAACAACAACAGATTCAAATGATGCAACTCGCCATGCAAATGCGGCAATTCCAACCAATATGCCATCTCCTTTCCAGCCACTCCACCAAATGGCTGCTGTCAGCGATACTGCCACTGGTTGACTAACAGGAGAGGAAGACCACCTCATGATGCCAATTGCCAATCTAGATTGACTGGATACTCTGCATAAAATAAGAAAAGAAGCATCTAAGAAGCGCATTTTAGGTAGCGCGAAAACGGGAGCACCCCTACCATACCATTCCAGTTTTGGCATATAAAATCGTGACGTCGCTGTAAAGCTTTGGTAGTAATTCAGCAGTTCGGAAGGTGAGGTCATCCAACCGGATCCGACGAGCTCCTGATTTGTAAGGTAGCATGCATGATAACATACAGCCACGACCTTGCCAACCCAGTCGTGCCCTTTCGGTTACTTAGTATGCGTATGTATTTGGGAGGCAAACTACATACAGAATGCACCAGGACGAGTTTACGGATTGCTAAGTACAATCTCATTTTATAAGATCGAGCCACTCAGAGCCCAGAAACTGTCAATTTGGAACCTCAGAAGCCACATTTTTGCGGTGTCTAGTACTTCTATATGCTAAAAGTAACGTCTGTAAGCTACCAGTTGATTTGTACCTATCTACAAATGTTTGGTATCGTTGTGAGTACTGTGATGATTGTTTAAGAACCAGAGAGCTCTATCAAGTCACATACAAGCCTATCAACCTTGTATTGAGGCACGGAA